TACCCTCATTTGTCCCCAGCACACTTGCCTCCAAATCATTCTGGGATAATCCATGAGGAATGCCCACGAGGATGCTCAGGGGCTGCAGCACCTCCCATATGGAGACAGGCTGAGAACATTGGGGCTGTTCAGCCTGGAGAAGAGAAGCTGCGTGGAGACCTCAGAGCAGCTTCCAGTTTCTGAAGAGAGCCTATAAGGGATGCTGGAGAGGGACTCTTCATCAGGGACTGCAGTCATAGGACAAGGGGTGATGGGTTCAGACTGAAACAGGGCAAGTTCAGGTTAGATCTAAGGCAGAAGCTCTTCCCTGTGAGGGTGCTGAGGCGCTGGCACAGGGTGCCCAGAGAAGCTGTGGCTGCCCCATCCCTGGCAGTGTTCAAGGCCAGGCTGGACACAGGGGCTTGGAGCAAGCTGCTCGAGTGGAAGGTGTCCCTGCCCGTGGCAGGGGGTTGGACCTGGGTGAGGTTTAAGGTCCCTTCCAACCCAAACTAGGCTGGGGTTCTATAAGATACTTGGGAATGCACAAATGTCAAGGTGGAAGGGCAAGAAGGAGCTGTGCTCCTGCACATTCCCTATCAATCTATGACCAGAGATAACCAGTTTCTTACACCATGCTGCTCCCATACCACGTCAAAACCCATCCGATCAATGCGTCCAACACCCCTGCAGGAGAGCGCTCACTACACTCCCTAACATAGTACAGACACCTACAAATGGAAGCATGATTCCCCCCCCCCCGCCATAAACAGCAACTGTGCTAAACGTTGTCCTAATGCGTGAAGTGACAAGTTTCTTTGTGGAATGCACTGCCAAAGTCACTTGGCGAGATGTCCCCACTGACACAGGATTTAGTTAGGTGCTAGCAACTGTTTCTGTACTTCCCACACCTTGATTCTTACACCAGGATGTTTTTCCATGTTGAACCAATTCGCAAGTGTCAGCAGGAGCAGGACAATTTCCAGCTGCACTACACAGCTCTAGCTCCCTGCACACACACCCGATAAACTGTATGCCAGACATCAGCCTTGGCTAACTCTTCAGAAGCACTTACAAGCCCCCAACACCACTGGTTGCTCTCTCATGATTCATTCCCTTGCTTTTAGCCTCGGTAACACCACCCAAGTTTTAATTCCTCATGAATTAAGATGAAGCAGACATTAAAACCTCTGAGGCGGTGTGTCACGGAACTGCTGCCCTCTCTGGAAACCAGGAGCTCAGAAACTCCTTTTCACAGCCATAATCAAGCTTTTGAACAGTAATACATTTATCAGGCATTTACTAGATATGCAGCTGCAGATTTAGCAAGATAATGATATCCTGGTAAAAGGAATCACAGTAATACATTCAATTCCTCTATTTGTCTTCAGACAGTAAGTAAGATTGATGATTTTGCAACTCAAGAGACTGTCTTGATTAAATAAAATGCAAATTAGGCAGAATCCACTATAAAGCTGATAACTCCTTTTTAATTAAAGCCTGTTACTTTTAAGTTTGAATGGACACAATCTGCTTTGCTGTTTAGTACCACCACCAGAGAGGCAGAGTACCTGCTTCGTTATTCCCATTACCTGCTTTGCTTTTCAGCTCTAGAGATACTTTAGACACACTATGGTCCTTTTCTTACCTTGCAGAATGAAAGGTCTTCTATCTGCAATATCACATAGTGAAAGATGTCAGCATGTAGTGGTTATAGACAGTGTCTATAGTATACACAGTGGTGTGGACGCATGAGATCAAAAGCTTTGCTGTTACGCTCAAAGGGCACCAGGTGGTGGTGGAAGACTCCTTAGCAGTGCATTTGCCTTCCTTACATTATGACATTGATGTTGTCTGTCTCTCCAGGCTACCTTCTCCCCTTCAAAATCTGCATTACTAATAACTTTGCCACACAAAAAGCACAACACTGGGCCTTCCAAAAGCCTAGCTGCTAGCACAATACCCCGTTTCTGATAGTAACCTAATAGGACCCTAAAGCAGACACGAGCAGGAAGGGTAGCAGCAAGCCAAGCACGCCCAAGCACTCTTCTGCGAGCAGCCTCCCCAGGACCAGCCAGGAGGTACCAGTGGTGCACTCCATGTCACGGCTCATTGCATCGCTCCCCTGGGGTGGAACTCCCAACCTGACCCAAGGAGCCTTTAATAAGCTTTACCAGGCTACCTGGAAACAAAGCCTGATGCAAATCTCCTCAGCCTGCCAGCTGAAAACTAGGCACTGGATTACCGACATTTAAATCTGACGGCCTCTGGTAAAGTTGGGATCATTCACTTAAAAGTCCACATATTCACAAAATACAAAAATAATTATTTAGCACTTTAAGGAAGGAAACAGAGTTCGTAAGGTGTCACAACACAAACGACTGACTTGCACCACTTTTTGCTTGCTTTTATACTAAACCCATCATTTTCACACTTCCTGTCCTGTTCAGACATCCATATGGGATAGAAACAAAGGCTATTCCCACTTTCAACACTGACATTCCTATATCACATATCAAAACACATAAAAAGACTGCAAAGCCCCTGGGAAGCAGCGATCAAAGAGTTTAACTGTAAAGGCATAAGGGCATTGTAATTCAGGGATTCAGAGGGCAAGCTATGTGAGATTACTCAGATAATGGCCAATGACCCCGAATTCACTATCAGCCATAGGAAATTCTAGTATCCACACAGCCTTGAGAGCAAGAAACCAAGTCAGCTGAACACGAACTGATTTGTTAAACCTTCAAATTAAACAAATCCAGTGCTGGTGTCCTCAGCATAAGGAGGACATGGAGCTGTTGGAGCAAGTCCAGAGGAGGCCACGAGGATGCTCAGGGGCTGCAGCACCTCCCGTATGAGACAGGCTGAGAACACTGGGGCTGTTCAGCCTGGAGAAGAGAAGCTGTGTGGAGACCTCAGAGCGGCTTCCAGTGTCTGAAGGGGGCTACAAGGATTCCAGATACATATATGAATGGAGTACTTGGGTAAATGGTGAATATCTGCAGCTGAATTTTTTCCTTCTGGAAAAAAATCTAACTGAACTCTCTCCTTAGACCCTAGTTTCAATTTTCTTTAGCATTATGAATCGTTTTTTAAAGAAAACCCAATGTTTTTACTGTGATTCACCACCCACCTTTGCAGGCACAGGGCACTTTTTGATGGTGTTACAAGTACCTGACACAACAGCGTCATTAGGATTCGTGCTGAAGTGCAGTTTCATTTGGCACCTCCAGAGCAAGACCCAGATTGCTTGGAGAGGAGGAAAAAACCACTGTTTACAGCTCTGCTTGCAAGGGCCAGCAGGTCAAGAGATGCTGCTCTCAAGAGAGAAGCTGGTAAAAACCAAAGATTTCTGTATTAACTCTGTAGGTCGTAAGTTCAGTTCAAACTCTGAAAGAGAATTTAGACCAACACCTGTGCAGGTCTGGTGTCCTCAATGTAAAAAGGACATGGAACTGTCAGAACAAGTCCAGAGAAGGGCCAAGACGATGCTCAGGGGACTGGAGCACCTCCTGTATGGAGCCAGGCTGAGGAAGTTGGGGCTGTTCAGCCTGGAGAAGAGAAGGCTGCGTGGAGACCTCATAGCAGCTTCCAGTATCTGAAGGGGGCCTACAGGGATGCTGGGGAGGGACTCTTCATTAGGGACTGCAGCCATAGGACAAGGGGTAACGGGTTCAAACTGAAACAGGGGAAGTTTAGACTGGATATAAGGAGGAAATTCTTTCCTGTAAGGGTGGTGAGGCACTGGAATGGGTTGCCCAGGGAGGTTGTGAATGCTCCATCCCTGGCAGTGTTCGAGACAAGGTTGGACAAGGCCTTGGGTGGCATGGTTTTGTGGGAGGCGTCCCTGCCCATGGCAGGGGGGGTGGAACTTGGTGATCTTAAGATCCTTTCCAACCCTAACGATTCTGTGATTCTATTTGTTAGTAGCTCAAATAATTGTCAACAGTTCATCTGGTTTCTGCACTCTGCTCCTGCTGCATTTGAATACCGCATATCCACAGTTGCCAACTGCAGAAACTATAAAACCTTCTTGTTACAACCAGCTTCAAGCTGAAAGCAAAATTAAAATTTCATCCAATAAAGCTCTGGTAATAGCAGGCCTGCTGGTTTCATGACTAACATGAAAAAGCTTTATTCATACTGCAAAGCAGTCGGGAACCAAGCAGGGTAAGCACCACTGTGCGAGGCTCTGCATCCAACACAGCACAAGAGAGGTCTCTGCACTAAAAAGCTGACGAGTCTAAATCATTTTAGGCAATGTTTCTAGAAGTCTGAGGCACTGCATCCCACGGACTGAAAGCATCAGAGACAGTGCAGAGGAAAACAGCAGAGGGGAGACGTCAACTGAATCCACTGTTACACACAGGCTAAACACCAAGCAGGATCCACCTGGGAGACAGTTTTCAGGGAAACAACTGCAGTGAACACCGATTTAAAGCAAGCATAAGGTCTAAAACTGGCACTTCTTTTTGAGAAATACTGTGCTGAAACCCTTTCAAACCAAAGGGGATCCTGAAGTTCACCCTACGTTAGAAACAATTACTACTGTTCATAGTATTTTTAATGTGTTGAAGACTTTGTCTGCTTCATGACTCTACATATTGAAGGGTTACAACTACAGCTTTCCTCATAGGGTGATTAATCAAGCATTTCTTTTCCTTCTCTGGAAGGGTACCTAGCTGGAAAGTGGGGTTTAGACCAAGACTCAGAAAACGAACCATTTAAGAGGCACCTGGAAAAAATAATTGCTATGTTAGTGAAGCTAAGTAGTTCTAACAACTAAGAGGGTGAAAATGCTGAAAGGAATGCTTGCCCCTACCCTCCACAGTGGCAAGAGAGTAACCCTCAAACTGAAGTTCATTTAGAAAGTGCTACAGATGAATCACGGGGGTGAGGGGGAAAAAGCACAAGGACATGAAAGCCAGCATGTACGCGACCATGACAACACACAGGCATGTTCTTACTTCCTCGCTGCCACAGACCAGCAATAAGCTGTCTGAAAAGCAATAATGACTTACCTCCACATTTTAGTGAAGCTGTGCATCAGGCTCACACAGCAAGGCAGAGCTGGGGGTTTGAGTCCATCCATTTGAAGGAGGAGGGCAGGAACACCGTACAGAACCAGGTACTTCACATAAAAAAACAGCACTTGAGCTAAAGCCAGGCCACCTAAAACAACATAATAATGTCAACATCATGCCTTAACCAAGCTCTGAAATTGTTTTAAAACCTGTTAATACTGAGTTACTTCCAAGCCCTAAAGCAAGCATCATGAGGTGATGGGATATACAATACCTACTTTTGCAACAGCTACAGGACACAAGCACACACAGAACAGTACCATCATCCCAATATGAAGGAGTAAGTAAGCACCTGTAGCTCCACCTTCAAAATTCTTTGGCCTGTGTGGTTATTTATTGCTGTGAAAAACAAACAGTGACTTATGCTGAGCTAACAATCAGAACGTACCAAAGCAGGCATGGGGATAAATGTTATCTCTGCAAGTAACTCCAACCAACCATGCTCCACTTGCTCTTCCCGCACAGGTATCTTTGCAGCTTATCCTGACCTGCTCCGCACCCATCTCATGCACCATCAGGATTATCTGTGTCCCCCAAAACACCCCCTACAAGACCCCTCCTGCTCCAGCTGAAGCATAGAAGACTGTTACTCCACTTGGCAGAATGCTTGAGGCACGTACCAGGTTTTAAACCCCAAGACAAAGGACTCCTTGAGGTGCTTTAGCTGCCCGATTGCCAAAGGAAGTTTTGGCAGTGTGTTTGCCCACAGCTTAACCCCAGGACATGGCCCAAAACACAGCATCTTGCACAGGTGTGAGATGAAAACCATACTGGCTACTCTCAGAGGTATTCCTCTCAGAAGAGTAACAACCATAAAACACATAAATAACAGTGACTCATATTAACACTCTAAATGTTTTCTGCTGAATAAAATGGTATTTCACCAATAAATCATATGAAAAAAAATCCATATAAAGCAGCGGCCAACACCTTTATTGAAACCGGGGAGAGCCCACTCCTAAAGTGCCACTGATTTTGGGGAGCTTTTCCAGCTGACAGCTGACATCACTTAAATCTAATCCCAAAGGAGGGGAAGTAAAATTGTTACAGCTTGGAAGAGCAAAAAAAACAACCCCAAACTTGTAAAATGCAATCGTTAAACCTCCTTTCCAGTATTTTGCTTTCCCTCCCTGACACTACCAACCAGTGATTTGAGTGCAGTTCCTCAGATGTTTAATGTGATTTTAGAACTGCCCAGCAGCCCCTCCTTGGGGACACAGCTTTCAATCTGACTCCAGCAGTCCAAGGCCGTGATCACTTAAATAGTCTGCTCTGATTTTCGCTGGCAAAGCATCCCTTTTGCATTCTGCTGACTCATGGGTACACTATGGATGCCACCCAAAAGCTAAGCATTAAAAATTCATGCCATATATATAACAACCTAGGGTGAAACCTCGGCACTAATACTGCAAATTGCAAAACTCCCACCATCCTAAGCAGGGCCAGCATTTTGCTACTACAATACAACGTTTTTACGTTTAATATCATGATCCATGCGCACAATAAGAAACATCTGTGCCATGCAAGATGAAAACTGATGTTAGAACAAAACACCTAGACATGAAGCTCATGGTGGTTTCCTGCAGGGAAGCAGCCATCTAGTATTCAGTAGCATTCTTCCCAGAGGAAAACCATCAATCAGAAGCACAATTTGGATACCAGCCAATTAGCCACACATTAGATTACTGCTAAATCATCTACACAGCCAACTTTCTGCTTTAATTCCCATCTCAATTCAGTTTCTCATTTCTCTTCTGACAAATTTCATTGGAGAGCGGAATGCTGACACCCACACAAACCAATTATGAAGATCACAGCTGTCTGTGCACCGGTAAAATCCAAAACCCCTTTGGCTGTGCACGATGGAATGAGATTTACAGGAACAGACTACCACTCTCTTGAGACCTGAGAAAAATCACAGCACTCCAGACTGGTTTGCGTTGGAAGGGACCTTAAAGCTCATCCGGTTCCAATTCCCTGCCACGGGCAAGGACACCTTCCACTGGAGCAGCTTGCTCCAAGCCCCTGCGTCCAACCTGGCCTTGAACACTGCCAGGGATGGGGCATTAATAGAGCGACTTGAGCACTGAAGACCAAATTCTGTGATATTGGGTGTTTGAGAACTTGAGCCCTGATGGTAAATTTCCCTTTGTGCTCCATGTTTCAAGCTCAGGTGAAGCAGTGCACTTCTGGGCTGCAAGGGAGCAAATGCAAAGCAGCTGGAACATCTCAGGTACGCAGGAAGGGTTAAAGTCTGCCTGTTGCCAAGGCAGCCCGGCTGTTATGATGCTGGAATTTTGCCCTTAATTTTCCATGTGTGGCCAGAACTCTCACACAGCTGGCATGAGTTGAAGACCAATAAGGACTTAGCCTACATATTTTGATAGGCACCCTCACTGTTGTGAGTCTTAGAATTGCCACACACAGAGTAGCTACTGCCTGCCAGGTAATGACCTGTGATGTGATGTGATGCCTACATGTATTTAAGATACCAGTGGTATTAAGCTGTCTGCTAGGGAATGGTCATGACAACTTGGGTGTATGTTAATAGAGATGGTTGGTTTTCAGTTGTTTTCTTTTTTTTCTTAAACTTACCTATTATAACTTTGTATTTGAGAACCTGGAGTCTTTCATCACTGTACGTAAATGCTGGAGAGGGACTCTTCATCAGGGACTGCAGTGACAGGACAAGGGGTGATGGGTTCAAAGTGAAACAGGGCAAGTTCAGGTTAGATCTAAGGCAGAAGCTCTTCCCTGTGAGGGTGCTGAGGCGCTGGCACAGGGTGCCCAGAGGAGCTGTGGCTGCCCCATCCCTGGCAGTGCTCGAGGCCAGGTTGGACACAGCGGCTTGGAGCAAGCTGCTCTAGTGGAAGGGGTCCCTGCCCGGGGCAGGGAATTGGAACTGGATGAGCTTTAAGGTCCCTTCCAACCCAAACCACTCTGGGATCCTATGAATTTCAAGCTTTACAAGAACTTGCACAGAAGCAGCACCTTTAATTAGAAACAGACTATGGCAAGTGTATATTAAAAATACCTGTGAGGGAAGAAATTCTACATATATGCTCTCTTTTCCCCAGAATAAATTAATTCAAAGCACTCAGGGTTAATTTGTAGCTGAAATGTTTTAAGGGATAAAAACAAAACCAAGTTAAAACACTGGTACAATCTTAAACCTGTGCACTTCAGCAGCGAAGCTGACATCCCAGACTAAATTAACCAACTTGTACAGAAACGGGTATTTTCAGTCTGTCATCTTGCAAACCCTTAGAACGTTCTACATTTTCCTATGCTGTATGAATTGGCCTTTTTCTATTGGCCTTCACAGTTTTACCTTCCATACGTTTACTGCAAAGCTGCATTTTGCAACTTTCACAGGGCTTTGCTTCAAGAGTAATTAAAAGTCAGCATATCCACAGCATAGCAGCATTATTATTATTAGCTTTAGCTTCCACATTCTCAAAACTCTGCCTTGGACAGGGGCTCTCAAGCAGAACATTCTCCTAAGTAACTGACAGACGATTTGGATCCAGGTATTAGAAACCACACTTGGCATTTTTCTGTCCATTACCATCACCAAAACTCATGGGCAAGACTTGTGCCTTAGCAGGCAACTTTATGATGAGCACAGCAGGACAAACCTACCGCTTCCGCAGCTACACTGACCCTATGGCATTAATGATCGCAGATGCTTGTTTCTACCAAGGACCAGGGCGGGCTCATCAAGAACACTCATCTCGGAGACAAACAGACATTTCAGAAGGGTTCCTGGCACATGGCACAAGTCTGGGAGATAAAGACATTTAAAACAGCCCAGAATTTGTGGCCATGCTCAGCATATAGAGATGGGGAAGCAGGAAGAGGGGATGCTCAGAGCGATGGCATTTGTCTTCCCAGGTTACACTTGCATGTGATGGAGCCCTGCTGTCCTGGGGATGGCTGAACACCTGCCTGCCCTGGGGAAGGGGGGGGATTAATTCCATGCACTATGGCTTTTGCTTTACCTGTTACACTGTCTTTAACTCAACCACAAGTTTTCTCTCTTTTACCCTTCTGATTCTCTCCCCAGTCCTATCAAAAGACTGACTGAGCAACTACGTGGTGCTCTGTTGCCATCTGGGGTTAAGCTACAGCACATGAGTAAAAGAAAAGGAGCCAATACTGGAAGTTTAGCCTGCAGGAATGCTTATAAACCATTCACACACACACACACACACACTTCTTTGTATAAAGCAGTGAACTACCCAGTGGCTTAGGGAATAAAAATCTTACTAAGCTTTCCGAGTCACGTTTGTGTTTCCAGTTTTCAACTGACATCAAGATGCCAAATATTTTATCAGTCTCCCCATCATTATCTTGCAGGATGAAAAACAAACAAACAAACAAACCAACAGATTGCTTCTAGTATTCCATGACCATGTTTTTCTACAGTATTTAGCCCATGGAAGATGTGGATGCAGCCAGTTTGGGGTTTTTTTCCCATATTATGGACAAAAAACAGTTTTGACTGAAACCCCTCAAACTCCAGGGGCCACGGTGCAATATGATGCTTCCCTACTCATTAAAGGATCAATACGCAGAGGATGCAACCTGGTCTCTCTCAGAGGAGGCCACTAACCATGTACTTTCCTAGCTCCTTGATCCACATAAACTGTCCTTACTGACCGCTGCCAGGTTAGGAAACACAGGGAGAGGAGTAATCCAGGAAAAGATATGACCAGGAGAGAACTGAAGGTTCTACCTTGACATGAACTACAGATACCCTTCTGTTCACAATTCCCAACATGCTTATCACCCAGTTAATGACCTTGAAACTTGCCACTTCCCAATATAACCTATACATAACAGCAATTAAAGACATTGCACAGATACTTCAATCACAGCAGTTCTTCCATCGGTTTATTCAAGGGACAGGCTTCACCTACCCACACTACATAGCCAATAAAGAGACAAGGGGGATATTCAACAAGCAAAGGGGGAAGCAAAGCTACAGAGCCCCCTGAGCCTTTCAGACACCATGGTAACCCAAAAGCACACAGCCCAGCGGGGTTACCTGGACAGAAGGGGCCTTCCTCTCAAAAAGGAGAAACTCTGCACTGCCTTTGACATGCTCAAATTCAGAAGAGCAGGAGAACATACAAAACTGGGCCTCTGCAAGTGAACTGGAAGGAATGAGGTAACATAACCTATAGGGTAAGAGCACGCTTATAGCGACTCGGGTACTGGCTTCTAAAGGGCACGGAGAACAGAAGAATCTGAACATCTGACCTAAGAAGGTACTTGGTTTGGTTGCAAAAGGACCCAAGTTTGAAAAGGAAAGTTTAAAAACCGACCATATAATTCACAGACTGTACCAACAGTAGCTAACGCACGCAAACAGGGATATTGAGGGCAGCTTGCACCTCTGTTGCAGCTAAATACACAGGCTTCAAAGCCACCCACGCACTGTTTTGTATATTGCTGCTTCTAGAACCTCTCTTCCCAACTCCTTTTACACAAGAGAAAATACTTCTCTTACTGCTGGGTAACGCATTCTCCCAGGTACTGTTTCTTCTTCCTTTTATCCCTGTGTGCGCTCAGTAATGTTTCTTTAGGTAAATTCAGCCATAAATAACATTGTGCAATGACATTTTTAAACATGCACTGCAACTCAGTCAGGGTTTGGGATTTTACTTCTTTGCTGTCTCACCTCACAGGTACACCAGACAAAGTGCTGCGGAACACAGGACAGCTTCCCACTTCTGAGGTGTAGATAGACTGACCATCATTACCCTCGAGCTGCTGAGAGCAGGATCTCACAGCACTGCTGTCCTTACCCACACCGCTGGCATTTATTGCCCATTGGTCAAAGACACCCCAGAAGAAAATGCAGGAGCAGTTCTAGTCTCCCCAGTTAGGGCTGACTGCACAACAGCCTCACACCTAAGCTTCCCAGGCTATGGGGGCAGCCAGGGATCACAGGGTAAGTGGATGCTCCGTGCTGCTTTGAAGCTGCTGTAGTTAAATAAGAAACCCAAAATGAACAGCAAGCCCAGCAGCACAGAAAGGCTGATGTACCATGTGGTTAATCCTCCCCAGTCAACAACAAGCTGCTTCCTTGGTCTCAAGACTCAGCTATCTGATGCAATAGGTTTTAATAAGAGAGAATGCAAGGTAACAGAGGGGTGTGTTTGGCTGTGCACAAGAACTGCCATAGAAGCATGGGAAGATCCGTAAGGATCAGGTAAGGATCAACAGAAAAGAAACCCATACCAGTATCCTTACTCCCATATCAGTGGCTCCCTAAAGCAAGTGGCCTGTCACTGGTTTGAGTCTGAGACCCGTATAATCATTGTGGCAAAACCTGCAGAGAACACCCTGTCAGAAGTGACAAATTCCGCCTCACTCTCACTTGCAGTGTATTTTAACCACGGGCTTTCACTGCTAAAAAGACAAAGCTCACCTAGAGCAGGGTCACACTTTGAAGAGCAGGGATCGATCCCCCAGAGGACTAATTCAAATGATCATATTTTAATCAGGCGGTTTCAGAGTCCAGACTTACTCAAACACTGTCTTTCATCACCTGTTGCTTTGAGGCATCTCAGCCTTTCCTAATCATTTGTTCAAAATGCATTTTAATTGCTTTCAAATAAATAAACACACAGCCTACTTAGCTACTGCCTGGAAAATTACTCCCCCCCTTAACATCAACCCTGGTAGCCTTGAAGGGAAGGAGAGATCTGCCAGTAACACCAAAGCCAGAATGCTCTGTCCCTAATTCTGCAGCCTTGCCTGCCTTATCCAGTGGCCAGCTTTCTGTCAGACATACAGACAACACCAGGAGCTAACAGATTTAACTCATCAATTCCCTGACATTTAGAATAGGGGATGAAAACTCAGAATCCACTTTCTATACAGTGACTGAGTTAGGAGGGGTAGAATAAACCATAGAGGCAAACCTCTCACTTTCTGCTCTCCATCTGCTCTTGCTCTTTTTTTTTACATATATATATATATATATATATAAATACACAAATATAGATTGTGTATGCATACACAGAGTGCGCACATTGCCCTCTGCTGACCAAAGTCCAATCCACAAGTGCCCTCCAACACACACTGATCATCATACATGATGTGCAATGAATGTTTGCCAGGACCATACAGTGTTGGTATCAGCTCCTGGTACTTGCTGGTACAGGAAGAGGCGCCTCGCTCTATTCAGCAATCACCAAGGCTTTTTCAGAACACAGTTTTAAGGCCTGGGGTTTCTCCACTTTGGTTCCTCCTACCTGGTGATCCAAAGAAAAGCCTTTCCCTGTGAGGAGGGTGCTGAGGCGCTGGCACAGGGTGCCCAGAGAAGCTGTGGCTGCCCCATCCCTGGCAGTGTTCAAGGCCAGGTTGGACACAGGGGCTTGGAGCAAGCTGCTCTAGTGGAAGGGGTCCCTGCCTGTGGCAGGGGGTTGGAACTGGATGAGCTTTAAGGTCCTTTCCAACCCAAACTATTCTGTGATAGCGGGGGGGGGGGAATCAAACTAACCACGTGCAACAGTCGCTTATGGGTTAACCTACATCTATGGAGCACTCTAAGCCCTTTCCCTTTCCAGTTACATTTATCAGTGCTCATTTTAGTTCCCATCACAGTTGGGCATTTTAATGAAACACCAGAGAGGTGGGAGGGGACAGAAGTGGGCGAAGTGAAGCAGGGAAAGAGCAATTCCTTCTCCCTGCTCTTTTCACGAGTGCTGTCATTTTATCTTTCAATATGAATACAGAGCTGAAGCATCAAACAGAAGGAGGCCAATAAACACTTTAGTTCCTAACATCTGCCCTCCTCCATCCCTATACCAAAACTCTTTTAAGTGTCCAGTTCTATGGGAAACCACTTTAGACCAAAGTTTTGAAGCACACTTTAGGTTGGAAAATATACAGAATGGTTTTTAATTTAGGAAGCAGCTCAGTCAGTTTAACCATAAGCTTCTCAGAGGATCTACATGCTACATGAAGTCCAGAAGACTGCCTTTCTGACAGTGACTGGCCATAATGTACTATTCCTAAGTTCCAACAGAGGGACACGAGAGAAGTAGACTGGGGGTCTCGAAGCAGGGGGGGGAAAGAAGATTTCTGCTGCTGTTTCTGTACTCACCCAAGGCCCAGTATGATGCAGCTTCCAAAGGAGGAGCACTGCTGCAGAGAGCATGGATATACATGAGGTGAATCATCAGCTCAGCCAGGCACCACCAAAAGAAAATACGCATCACGCCCACCATTAAGATCCTAAGATTGGTCTTCAAACTGAAGGCTTCTTGGCTCCTCATCTGAAAAAGAAACCCAGAGAGGTGATATGGCACGTAACTGTGGTACTCACATACCAACCTCCGAGAACTTGATTAAATTTCATTTGCTGTTCATTCCCAAGGGGACCACCTGACAGTGCCATTTGCTAATTCCTGACCTGACCTCTCCATTCTCAATCTCAGTACGCTGCAGAAATCAAGAGATCACACATGGCCATAAACTGCACCTAACTTACAGGAAAGGCCAAGTGCTGTTAACATGGATAGGATCCAGACACGAGATGCTTTTTAGCTCCTGTGACTTCATCAATCTTTAGAGATGATCAAAAGAAGCTTAAAGAAAACACAGCTATGAAGGAGAAGGTTTTCCAAGCAGCAGCCCTACCAGAACACAAACAATTAACTGCTGGCTCTTAAAGTAGCTCCAACTTCTACTCGCTACATGGGACTGATTTCAGGACAGCTCTCCATTCTTCTCCTGTAGCATTGCCAAGATCTGCCAGACCTATATGATGTGCTGAGCAAATGGCAGTTAACCACAAGTTAAACATCAGGTAAGAAAAAGTTTGCGGCTGGCAGGTTTCTTACGATGTCCCAAACTATAGTAAACACACTGACATGCTTTTACCCTCTTTCCACAATAAAACAGAATATGCTCAAACAAGAGAAACATAGGATTGCCTAAAAACTTATTCACGTTTTGTACATCTATTACTGTGCATGTGTGCTCATCCACTTTATCCCAGTGATGTTAGCTACAGACATCACAGAATGCTTTGAGTTGGAAAGGACCTTAAGATCAACCAATGTCCGGTGAGCAAGGACACCTCACACTAGATGGTATCACCCAAGGCTCAGTCCAACCTGGCCTTTAACACTGCCAGGGATGGGGCAGCCACAGCTTCTCTGGGCACCCTGTGCCAGGGAAGAGCTTCTGCCTTAGATCTAACCTGAACTCGCCCTGTTTCAGTCTGAACCCATCACCCCTTGTCCTGTGGCTGCAGTCCCTGCTGAAGAGTCCCTCCCCAGCATCCTTGCAGCCCCCTTCAGACACTGGAAGCTGCTCTGAGGTCTCCAAGCAGCTTCTCTTCTCCAGGCTGAACAGCCCCAGTGTTCTCAGCCTGTCTTCGAAGGGGAGGTCACACATCACAGGTGGTGATTCCACTTCTTACTCAAGTGTGCAAGAAAACCAGGAAAACATTAAACAACACGGAAATGTGGGGTTTTCCCTCGTCATGTAAAATCAGGCTTGAAAAGCAGCCTGCAAGGCCCTAGGAGAAGACGTTCAGTAAGTTAGGTCAGTCTTTCACATTTTAACATGCTAACCACCTCATTTAGCCTGAAGAAAAGCCTTCCAAGTAATCATCAGCTGTTTTCACACCACCAAGATGGGAAACTCAGGAACTCCCAACATAAACCAGCAGCTTTCTGAGGCTCTAGAACCTGTTTCAGAGTTAACAGCCAGATGCTGCTGACGATGTTACCTTCTTCTGCCTAACTGAGGAGAGGCAAACAAAAATCCAGCCCAGCAGCTGCAAGCTAGAATTATGAGCATTTGAAGACTCTAACAACGTGTGTCACTGGGTCCCTGGTTGAAGGGATAAGTCTGATGTTGGACAAAAAAACATCCTGTAAAGCAGAACTTGGGGAGGAAGGTTCGTCCTCAAGTTGATACCCAGGAGACGGTTGAATTCCCAGTGCTACACTCAAAGTCGTTCCTAGAACGTGATTTTGTATTTTCAAAACCATGCTGAAGACAGCTTTAGACACCCAAACAATTCTTAACCTCCAAGGAGTCCAAGTAAAAACTGAGATCTTTCAAACCATCAGTAAGGAGGAAAGCTATTACAGCAGCAGTTAGAGATGTCTGTACTGAAGTCAAAATGGGCAGGACTGAAAACTCCTTTTCTGGAGGTTTTTTCTGTTTCCAAAGTACCTCATTGAGGGGAAAACTATTTCAGACAGAAACAGCTATCACATTCTGATAGGGGAAACTTATCAGCCAGCCAGGAAAAGCTGCTTGGCTTTCTTTCCACCTTCTCTAACACTGGAGTCTAACATACCCCCCTCCAACCAAGCACTAGATATAAACACTTTGGACAACATATGCTGACTAAATATGTTAGTTACCAGCCCAAAGTGAGTTCATTGGGCCATGGCTGCCATACAAGCGTGAATACCCAAGACTGGTTTCCAACTATGGCCTTCCCTTTCGCATGCAGCGTACTTCAACACTTAAAAGGACAACAGATAAAGAGGAACACTGGGAACACCTTCTGTCTGAAAGTCTCATCTGCATCAATTTCTGTCAAGTAGGAAACCAGAAAATAAACAGAAACTCAGGCTTACCAGTAAACTGCATTACAAAACACACCGATAAAAGAGCATCTCATGGAAAACTGGATGAACCTGCCTACCTAACATTCTCGTGATCGGTATTAGAATCTCTCAAGATCACCCTATCATGCTTTAATCTATTCCTCAAAGCATGGGGTCTGCATCTAGATTTGGCAGCTGGAAAGAGATCACCATCCACTTCCAATAGTTCTTCACCCAATTCACTCGAGGCACAGACGCACTAAAAATCAGTAACTGTGATGTAAAAAAGCTCTGTTACCTGCTTACTGAATTCATCAAAATTCATAAGGGGCCCGTTGTGGAAGGTGGGGTAATAAAAGACATATGCCAGCATCCAGAGGAACGAGTGGGATGACTTCTGGGCAGGTCCATGCCAGCAGTACTCCAGGCTGAAGCTAGTGCAGAAGAGGCAGCGGACAGACAGGGTGAAGAGCAGCAGGTAATACTCATTCTCAGTGTCGTACCACTTCCTCTGCAACACAAAATAAAGCCAGAACCTGATGGGGCAAGTCTGGGATTTCTGTATGGCTGGACAGCGATGGCCACCCAGATCCTCCCTTTCAGGGTCACCAGCAGCAGGAAGCAACTACATCTAACAGCAGTTGGCACAAGCATCTGAAGTGAGCATTAACACATGAACAAGCAGCACCGGAGGGATGGAACTGATGGAGAAAGGGGGCCTCCAGAGCTACTGCCACCAGCATAAAGAGCCAACAGTTTCATTTCAGTAACATATTAGGTTGTGCATAATTGTGATAGCAGGAGACCTATTCTTACAGGAACGGCATTATCTCCCTCAGATTTGGCCCAGTACTACAATACCCAAACCAGCTGGCAGCACTGCTGTCAGCAAAGGGACTGCTAGGGCTGAAGCCAAAGGCTGCAGTTCAGATCCGAAAAGAATCAGTCACTCCTGAGAAAGCTCAAGGCTGGAAAGATGTTACTGAACCTTTTGCTTGACTAAGGATACAAACCCAAAAGCTAGCACCTTAAACTGGTACAATTACAGCTTCAAAGAACTGGAGATGCATTTACTAGAGCACTAGTAAAGCACTGTCATACATCAGCTCTGCTGAACACCACTTACACATACTTCATCTCAATGCACTGACCAGCATGACTGAGAAATAAAACCAGTACTTTGTCAAAACCAGAGCTGCCATAGTGGGCACCCACCACCATAATTAATTCAATGCTTAATCAGTCCCTCTCTCATTACCTTGGCTTCTTCCACAGCTGGTATACGTAAGGTGGATAGCAGGGTAAGGGAGCACAACCACGTCAGGACCGACAGCTGAAACTGAGCCACAGCAAACGAAATGGTTGTATGCAACAGGATGACAGCAAAGCCCTTGATTCCCAGTAGCAACCAGCAGGCAGCCATTCCATAAACCATCAAGCACCATGGTTTATACTGTTAAAGAAAAATGAACAGGTTTTAGTTTGATTATTTCTAATGAAAAACAACCAACCAACCCCTCAGTATCTGGGCTGTCCTACACAGGGTCGACAGTGGAAACAAATGCAGTCAACAAGGTTAAGAACAAACATAGAATCATAGTCAGTTGGGTTGGAAAAGCCCTTTAAGCTCATCCAGTCCAACCACTCCCCAGCACTGCCAAGATCACCACTAACCTATGGCACTGAGGGCCTCGTATGAACACCTCCAGGGACGGCGATTCCAACGCTTGCCTGGGAAGCCATATAGGGAACCCATAAAGGATGGGGATACACAGAAGGGGTTTCTGTAGCAGCGTGTATGAAATCGAGAGTCTCCCTGATCTGGAGGAGAACACGAGTTCCTCCTTTCCTTCCCCAGACCAGCAAGTGGGATACCACATGCCAGTCACTTCTCACAATCATACATTCATTGAGCAGCCATGCCAAAACCCAAGCAGTCATCACCTCACAGTCTTGGAAAGGAATACCTACCACCTTCTTTGGTGCAGAGGTCAAATGACACTGGTTAACGGCTCACAACAAAGCACAGGTTTTCATGGGCTGGAGGCTCACGTCTCCAGACACTGAGGCAACGCGCTCACCTGAACATCATCACAGACGCACTCACACAATTCACCCCCCAGAATGGGATTTTCCACACTCGGTGGGCTCAGTGCCACATTTCCCATGCCCAAGTAAACCGAAACCCACAGAAACCCCCTGCTGCGTAGACACTCCTTACATACCTTCTCCACCAAGAGCCTGGACACTTGTGATACCAGCAGGTGACCAGCCAGAAGCCACAGTATACGTTCCCTTCCCCATTCGATCCAGTAGCTCCACTCGAAGTCCAGGGGGTCCTGGGGCACCAAGGGAACCGGTCACTGTGTGTATCTGGCCCTAAAAGCATGTTCTTACAGGAAACACCTACACACTAGGTCCATTACCCAACACCACAGACCTCCGCATCGGCAGAACGTCACTTCAGCAATCCAACTGGATCACTTACAGCAGTGAGCTCTGACAGCATCATTCTGACTTCCAATGGTGTGAAATGCAGAGAAAGAGCTTTAGGTGGTGTCACAACTCCTAAGCCCCTCAGTTGGTGACGAACCTGACCAGTAATCACTGCCTTGCCGCTCCCAGATGCCAGGGAGTTTTCTAACTACAAAGACAGGCACCCCCCGCACACACATCCTCCCCAGGACATGGGGAACAGGCTGGTGAGTGCACAGAGATGCAGGCTGCAGCAAGGGTCCTCAAGTCTTCCTGTCCAGCAGGGCCTCACTTGGGTTCCTCATTAGAAAGCTTCTCAGGAAACAACAAATTACAGTGTGCTACCACTGATCTGCGTCATCTCTTCAAAGCCAACAAAGTCAGGTCTTTGCTTGCTCCCATCCTTTTAATGTTAGGACTCTCTTTTCCATGTACACAGGAAAAAAAACAAAACAAACACATTTTGAGCTACACTGAAGCCGTGCAAAGTTTAGCCAGGAACTTGCATTTATTTCAACTTGGCTGAAAAGGCACCTTGCTGGAAGAGGAGTTTCGCTCCCCAGTTCAACAAAGCCCAGGTGGGATCACATGAAGTGAGGTCAGCTGCAGGTTCCTGCGACATGGGGGGTTTATCTACATTGTTTAAGAGGGATCAGCTGGTGGCCTTGTGTCCTATACAAAGCCCCACCAAAAGTGCATCTCCACAAGGGCTTTATGGCTTCCTTGAGAGCACATGTGAAGGGTCCCTCACCAGGGCCTGAACACCAAAATACTTCCACAGCTGTGCGTGCCTGGTCTTGTGCAAATCATTCTCAATATTAGTAACATGTACCAGCACTATTTCAGAAGGATGTGAGGTCAAAAGCACATGGTGAGGTTGCTTTTTGGCTTTCTTATTAGTTTGGGGTGTTTTTTTTATACCAACCATGTTTCTTTAAGCCTGTATGCCTCACAAATCTGTTCTCCTCTATGCTGTACTACAGACCGAGCAAGAGGAAAACGTGTGTTCACTGATCTTAAGCCGATGTTATCCAGAACACCCAGCGAGAGGAAAAAGAGGGAAAGGCTGCAGGAAACCCCAAAGGGGACGATAGTTTTTAAGGCCAAAGAGCAAACCAGAAGGTTATTCAGTAATTAACAAAGGAGAAATGCTTAGTGCAGGGGTCAAGGAGCCAAACTTGGGTTGTGGTTTTCAGATCTAGACACACCTGGTAAGTTCCTCAGGAGACACAGACTGAAACTGACTATGAACACCCATATCTGCACAGTTACTACAAGCTCTGAAGCTAGATCAGAAGCTCAGGTGAGCAGAAAACATGGAGACATGTGTTTGCTGCCACAAAATAAAAGATGCTGTTACCTGTCACCCATCCTACCTTTTTGAGGCCCCGAAAGAGAGTCCCTGGTTCCAGCCCAAACTCCGTGTCCATCGCAGCTTCATACTCTGCAGAGAAGAGTAAACCTTTGCTAAGGACACAGCAGCCAGAGCAGGGAGAATCACAGAACAGTTTGGGTTGGAAAGGACCTTAAGATCATCCAGTTCCACCCCCTGCCATGGGCAGGGACCCGGCACACCACACCATGTCACCCAAGGCTCACCTAATGTGACGGTCAGGGCTGTGGCCTCTGCTGCACGCTCCCGAAAGGCCTCCACTGATGGAGGCACTGAAGCACTTCACCATGTCACCACTCACCAGGTGAGCTGCCCAACCAAGCCATGGCTCTGCCCTGCAGCAAAGGCACTGAACTGCTCACAACTATGCTTGCCCCTGGCCACACGGGACCTGTGCTAATCCTCATTTCCCCTCTTTAAGGGCTACCTGGTTTCTCCCAGCAGAGCAGAAGGGACGCACAAACCTGCCACTGACCAGTACAGCAGAGCAGGGCTAAGCTGCTCTGAGAAGCCACCTCCGGAACCCACCCGCATGCAGCCTGTTGCCATGGGTGGGTGCAGAGCCCTGTACCCAGCACCTCCTTCAGGGCCCTGCCTTTCCGGCACTCCTGTTCTTCCCTTCAGCTTTTCTGAGAGGCAGCTAGGGTCATTAACGTAGAACACCTGGCTGATTAAACCCGAACAGCGGGCAATACCCATTTCCCTAACGAGGCTCTCTAACTAGCTATACTCCTACCAGGTAATACCACCTTAAAATACCAACGGGCTAGAACACAGCTGCTTTTCACATGGAAACTCTACATAACTTGTTTACCCCCACCCCGCACAACACAGCCCCACCGAACCAAAACCACTAGAGCAGCTACCAAGAAATTACTCAAGGCACACGCAGGTGTCTGGAAACAAACCGACCCCAAAGCTGCACAGACGAGGCTCTGAGCCCCCCTCTCCCCCGACACCCTTGCCAAGAGCCCTAGGACCAGGCTCTCCGCCCCGCTGGCACATGGCTGCTGCCGTTGCTTCCTCGCACAGGGCTGGCTGGCAGGCAGGAGGAGCACGGGCGCTCCGTGCAGGGCACCAAAGCAGACCCCAACTCGGAGAACGACTCCAGCGAGCGCCGGAGCGCGCACCCCCGTCACGGGCTTACCTCGGGACGCTCGGTGCGCCTCGTAGAACGCGTAGAGGTGCGAGCCCACGGCGAGGAGCCCGTAGAGGCGCATTTCCCAGGCCGGCAGCAGCATCGAGCTGGTTGCTGCTCCCAGCGCACCCGCCGGCCGCCTCCCTGTGGGGAGACGGAGCACGGCCACGACACCCGGACCCCGGCGGCCGCCAACCAGCGCCCCTCAGGCCGCCGCGCTGCCGGGCCCCGCCGGGAGGCCCCTGGGCCGAGGGCTCAGCACGGCCCGGGCCCGGTGGGGAGGAAGCGGGCCAGGGCCGTCCCCCGGCTGCTCCCGCCGACCCGAGACCGAGGGGAACGGAGAGGGGACCCCGCTCCCCGCTCACCTGAGCAGGGCTCCGCCGCCGGGAGCCGAAGGAGCAGCAGCAGCCGCGGGCCCGGTGGAGCCGAGACTCAGCCGCGCAGGCAGCGGCGCGACCCCGCCGGCCCCTCGCGAGCGCCCGGACGGCGCCGGAGGGCGGGAGAGGGGCGGAGCTCAGCTGCGGCCCTTGCGCGCCCTCTCCCGGCCGCCTGCGCCGGCCCCGCCGCTCCTCGTAGCGGGCTCGGCGGGGAGAGCGCGGCCGGGCGGCGCCGGGGCCGTGCCCGTTAACACCGGGGCAAGCACGGAGGGCTGGGACCAGACCAACCGGGTGTGTGCGGCAGCCGCTCGCAGACTGCGCTCGGTCGCCCGCCGGCTGGAGAGCAAGGTACCCTAGCGCAGGGATGCCGGGTTTACAGTCACCACTACACAAGCTGAGCTCCTGGCGAGGCTGAAGAGCATCGCCAAAGCTGGAAGTGCTGGGACTGACAGCCCCTTCATGGATCAGCCTGCGTTTTAGCAAGGGTTCCCTCCTCCTGGCACTTCACACGCAGCTAACAAACCTCACTGCTCCTAGTGTTGCAAACAGGTTGACTCACAGAACAGTTTGGGTTGGAAGGGACCTTCAAACTTCATCCGGTTCCAACCCCCTGCAATGAGCACGGACACCTTCATCTAGATCGGGTTGCCCAGAGGCAGATCCAGCCTGGCCTGGAATGTCTCCAGGGATGGAGCATCCGGTAATTTTTAATGAGGGAAACAGTTCATATCCTTTTGGATGCTGTTGTGCCAGACCTTCAAGATCCTCCTATAAAAGAGCACCCCTGATCTCCCTGAGGCCTGCTTTGCTTATTCCAATTCCTGGTTCCTGATCTTGGAAAGCCAGGCTCATGTCTGATGCTCCAGGTGAAGTCCCATCAGTACAAGGGTCAAGTCTTCCCTATCTGAACCCAGACACGCACCTCTGGTGCCTCTGAGAATCACATCTGTCTATCAGAGCCACGTGGTGGTCCTTAAGCATTTTGTCTTTTGCCTCCAGTTTTCCTTCCCACCTCTCTTTGCCAGGGAATGACTCCCCTCCAGTTTACAGTGCCAGCTGTGACGCCCCCTAGGTGGATACTGCATTTGCTCGGTGGAGCTGCTGTAAAATCTCAAGGTCAGGTGCGTTCGCCTCTGTAATGCCCAGACCCTCGTCCCTGCTGACACTGCTCCCCCAGTTTCTGCCCTCGGCAAGTTAGTCAGTCCCTTACCCCCGAGAAAAGACAAATACGTGACACCACCTCAGAACAGCACAGGAGCAGCAGTCCTGGCTGTGTAAAACCATTCCCACTCGGCACCGCAGCCGCTAAGGGTCAGCAGAGCCTGCGTTTTCCTGCAGCTCTGCGGTTTCTGGTCACCGGTGTGAAGTCGGCGCAGGCAGCAGGCCCTCTAGATGGCTGCCTAACACAAACGGTGTGCGTGCAGGAGCCCTGCTGCAGCCTGAGGTCTAACGAGTTACAGCTTTCACACCAATCACACTGAAAAGGGCGGCGTTGTCATTAGTTATGGGGTGACACGGAGCTGTTGGAGCAAGTCCAGAGGAGGCCACGAGGATGCTCAGGGGCTGCAGCACCTCCCATATGGAGACAGGCTGAGAACATTGGGGCTGTTCAGCCTGGAGAAGAGAAGCTGCGTGGAGACCTCAGAGCAGCTTCCAGTGTCTGAAGGGGGCTACAGGGATGCTGGAGAGGGACTCTTCATCAGGGACTGCAGCCATAGGACAAGGGGTGATGGGTTCAAAGTGAAACAGGGCGAGTTCAGGTTAGATCTAAGGCAGAAGCTCTTCCCTGTGAGGGTGCTGAGGCACTGGCACAGGGTGCCCAGAGAAGCTGTGGCTGCCCCATCCCTGGCAGTGTTCAAGGGCAGGTTGGACACAGGGGCTTGGAGCAAGCTGCTCCAGTGGAAGGTGTCCCTGCCCGTGGCAGGGGTTGGACCTGGGTGAGCTTTAAGGTCCCTTCCAACCCAAACCATTCTATAATTTATGACATCCAGGAGCCCACACAGGCTCTGTGGCCAGGTGAGCAGCTACCCTTCCACAAAGGTCACTGCCAAGCCCATGGAGCAGAAACACTGACAAACCCCAGCAGTGGTCCCAGTGGAAGCTCTCACTGCCTGGACTTTTCTACTAGACGATTATTTTTTTTCCTGCCTCTTATATTGAGGATGTTATATAGCAAAATGTGACCAAAACCTCAAGATTAGCTGTAAACCAAGATGCTGAACAGCCTGGCACAAATACCTACACATTGACACGGTCCTCACCATTTTAGATGCACAAATAAAAGCGAGTTCTGCTGCTACAGTCACTGGCAGGCAGTGGAGGAACCCGAGTGTAACAACCCTAGACAAGCAGCAGCAGAAAGCCCCACTTCTCATTTGATCTGCAAGAAGCAGAGTGTTTAAACATCTCTTGCCCAGTGTCCCAACAGCTGCAGAGGCCCGGTATCCTCTCAAGGCATCTGCCCTTTAGGAAGAAAGCAGGGTGATGCTGTCTACCCATGCAGCAGGTTTCTCTGAGGCCAAAAAGAGAATCCATGTGGGGCAGAGGGATGATTTGTGATGGTAGGTTTCTCTGGGACACATTCAGAGCACCACTGTTGCTGCCAGAACGGCTACAGAGTGCAAAAGCACCAACTGCCAAAAAGGTCTATGTCTGTCTTCACTGCTGGGAGCCAGCAGGAAGGCGTCCAGCCCCCACCACAGCCTTGGTGAACACTGGAGGGTGCACTGCCAGCCTCTTGCAGACCAGTTCAAGCATCACTAGAAAACTGTCTCTAGCAGATGCTCATGGCCCTTTGATTATTCCTATGCTCTTTTGAAGCAACCGCACGCGAGTTGAAAGCGTTGGGCTTTCACTGTCAAGTAGTGAGAGTCTCCTTTCTTATGTGATCAGCTGTAGGCATGATCAGATGAAAGTGAAGCAAACAATTCCGGAATCAAGGAGGAGAGAGGCAGCAGGAGGCTTTTGGAAAGGGCCCTTACTCTTGCCTTTCGTGCAAGTTCTTCTGCGGTCTGCTTGCTGCAGAACTGTACATTTCTAGGGCATGGGCATGGGCATGGCCAAGGGGACGAGGCAGGGTGGATGTGTAAAAGGCAGGGAGGCGGCCAAGTGGGCATTTTGCAGCTGGGAAGGCAAAACAAAGCTTGTGGTTTTGAGGAAAGCCTTATTTTCAACTTGTCAGTTGTTTCACATGCAGTTAAGCTGTCAAAATGAGTATTTACGAATCCAGCAGTACAGTCCTCAGGCAGACTAAAGCATCGAGCTTCTCACTGTTTTTCTGAATACAAAGTCCCTGTGGGAATTACAAGCAGTGCCCCTAGAGCTCTCCCTCACAAGCTGAGAGCTCACAGTATTGAGCCAAGCCTCTTGTTTTCATTCAGCCTCGAAACCACACGGTAACGCCCCCCGTGTGCAACATCTGAATGTCGGGACAAGATCAGCACCCACTGAGAGTCTGCAGATTAGAAGTCCAGCAACAGACAGGAGGATGAGCCATGTACATTCACACAGCTATGACAAGAAGTCTCCACGTAGCAAAACAGCAGTATTAAAACAGGGAGAGTCAGAAACGTTAAAGGTGTGGCATTTACAAAGAGAGCCAAGTGAGCCTTCCGATAGCCAAGTTAAATATGACACAGCTGAGGTTAACACCAGCCCTCCCTTTGGAGATCTCAGACAGGAAGTTATGGACTCTAGGAAGAGAACATCAAGTTTGGCCTTTTTGTCTTGTTGGGCTTGGCAAACGTTACACTAAATTGGTCAGCACTGCAGGTGGCTCCATCTTTCCAGGTTCCTCTCTCCTCTGACCCCCAGCCCTCAAACTGGCTCTTTATGAAGTGCAAGCCTACCCCCCCTCCCATCACCTTCAGTTGTATCTATGTAAGTATTGCCTATAAAGAGACCCTTGCAGTCACAAAGTCAGTATTTCTGTACACGCAGATATCATCATTTTCCTGGCTTCCTTTTAGTGAATCACTTGCATCCTTGAGAACTTGTTTCAAGCTCGGAGGCTGGAAAATTCCCAGCTTCTGATTGGGAATTCATAAGGTTACTTTGGGGAAAAAACACAGTAAATTTGTATTGTAACTAAGCAGCTCACTGCCGGATCCATGCTGAACATCTCAGAGGCTTCCTCGTCGATACGCTGCCTGCTTTGCTGAACTAAAGAGCCTTTCCATGGATTTCCTTACCCATTCTTCCCTCCAATGAAAGCAGTATTGGAAGCAAAGTCATACAGCCCTGCTCTCACCGTGGATGTGGAGTCCACTTGTGTACAGTTACTATAGCTGGCGTGAGGTTCAACTCTGCTGCCTTGATCGTGTCTGAGTCTAAGTTAACCATGCTTGAGCCTTAGTTTCCAACTAGTCAGCTATTAAACACAAAGGTGGGTTTGGTTTTTCTCCTTCCCACAATACTCCTTAGAAGCTGTCTAGCTTTAAGTGTGGAATGATGGGAGTTAAGGGGATGGCGAGTCAGCTCCCATGTACCTCAGTGATCCTATTGAAACCTGCCATGATTATTAGCAAGGAAGCTGATAATCCACTATTGGAGTATTTAAACCCCTCGGTATTTCGGTTTTAGTGGTGGCCTTGGCAGTGCTGGGTTAATGTTGGACTCAATGACCTTAAAGGTCTTTTCCAATCTAAATGATTCCGTGATTCTGTTTCAGTATCTTAGCCATCCTTGGGCAGAACAGATGGTCTAGTCCAAACATAGGGGAAAGGATTCTTAAGAAACATCCCTACTTCAGGTATTACATTGCTTACCATTTTTAATGGTTATGTTAGTGGAATAAAATTCAGAAAAAAAAGATGGCCAGGTCACAGCCAGTTTACTTATATTAATATTATAATAGTTTATGTATAACAGCCAGTCTATTATCATTTACATTATTACAAATGATGGCAAGACTCTCACCTGACCTCCAACAGGGCAAAATGTAAGCGATCCAAAAGGTGTTCCGAATTTAGTTGTACTGAGGCTGTAAATCAGATGCAAATCTCATTCTATTACACATTACACACAT